AGCTTGGAGTGTAATTTCATTACTTATAAATATCTACAGAGGTGAAAGTTGTAGCTCTGCCTTTGTGGCGTCTCGTGATGTAACACAGTCCTTAGTGACCAGTGGACGCTAAGCGTGTGGTTAGGAAGCACCCCCCAGGGAGACCCTGGGCCTCTGGGGGCTGGAGCAGTGTTCTGACGCCCCGGGGGAGGCGGTGTCCACGGGCAGGGCCTGGAAAGGAGGGCGGACACCTAAGTGGAACGAACCCCCCCGAGAGGACGGGCAGGCTGCCTCGGGCTCGAAGCCCGTCCTGGGACCCGGGAACCGCAGAGGGCACTCGGGGAAGAGGCCGCCCGGGCTGGGACTTGCAGGCAGCTGGGGCCGCAGGAGACGGAGGGGCTGGGGCAGGGCTCCCGAGGGAACCGTGTGGTGTTACCCGTGGGACAGTTGCTGTCGTCGACCAGGTTCCTCTCTCTGAAGATGCCTGGTTGACGCCCCCAGCTCTAAGGAGCTCAGGTTTCATTCTGTTATTTCTGCCATAAACCTTCCCCAGACGCCCCCAGAGTTGAGGCGTGAGAAGAGCCTCAGTCACAGGGGCTGCGGGGCTCCGAGCCCAGATGGGAGAGTCTGAATAAAGGTCTTGTTCTCACCCAGTGGGTGTCAGCGGGGACTGAGGGTGGGCCCTGGACACAGGGAGGGATCAGGGCGTAGTCCCTCCAAGGCATCTGGGTGACGTCATCACCCACAATGGTCCTCCCAGTGCTTCCACAGCGAGGAGAAGAGACTAGAGGGGGTGTGTGTTTGTGTTTGCGTGTGTGTGTGTGTGAATTAGCAGCAGATGCAACTGCAAGTCACAGTAAACTCATTTAAAAAGTGCTTTAGGCAAAACACAAGATTATTTCCCTCTCTGGTAAACAAAGCCCAGGAGTAAGCAGCCAGGGCTGATGAGATGGCTTCACTCTAATCAAGGATTCAGCCTCCCTCTAACTTCTTATTTTATCAACCACAACACATGGCTTCCACCTCATGATTCAAATGGCTGCTTGAGGTCCAGCCATCACACTCACATTCCAGTCAGCAGTGAGGAGGAAGATACAAAAATGTGGGTTCCTCTTCCTTTAAGACACTTTCTGGAAATTACACCCGGCACTTCTGCTCTCACACAGCACATTGACAATGACTTAGTCACACAGCCACATCTAACTGCAAGGGAAGCTGGGAACGTAGTCATTATTTCGGGCAGCTATGCGGCAGCGAAATTCTTTCTTCCCTAAGGAGGAAAAGGAGAACAATATTGGAGGAACGGTCAGCAGTCTGTTCCATCCTGGGCACGAGTGTCTGCACGTGTGTAGGCCCCTGGGCGTAGGGTGTGGGCGTGTGGACGTGTCCAGGCCTGGGTTTGTAACCGTGCTCACCATCAGTTAGCAACGTAAACACGCTGCCTGGATGACGAGTGGATGAGTGAATGTCCATCTGAGAGACGTGTACAAGCATGGGAACGCATGGGGTACAAGCATGAGTGTGCACACTCACGACACACGCATGCTCACTAATTCACTTCTCATTCAGCTAACATTTCCTGAGCACCTACTATGTGCCTGGAACGGGGCTGCACACTGGGCACCAGCATGTCAGCACGGCCGTCGAGGCCGCTGCCCTCACGGAATTAGAGTCCAACGGAATACAAGGACCCGACCCGGGTGCAGCAAAACCAAGTAAGAGAACACGACAATGACATTGGGGTGAGGGAGAAAATAAAGAGTGTGATCCTCCAGGGACCAACGGGGAGCACGGGGGCAGCCAGTGAGGACAGGAGGGTTGTGGAAGGGGGTCCCTGGGGAGGTGACACTGAAGGAAACACATCAGCCCACCCACCCCTAGACATCTGCCTCCAGCTCAGACCCCCTGTCGTAGCCCCAGGTGCTGAGCTCCAGGCGCCACCCTGATGTCTCCCCCGAGGTCCATCCTGCCCCGGGTCCACGAGGCTGAAGAGAAGCTCCTGTTTCTCTTGCCCAAACCTGCCCTCCCCTCCCTCCGTCTTCCCCAGCTCAGTCCGTGGCTGCGCTATTTACTGAAAGACAGAAGGAGCCAGGGTGGGAAGAGCCAGGGAAGGAGCATTCCAGAGGGAGCCGCCAGTGCAAAGGCCCTGAGGCAGGGAATCTCTTCCTGTAGTGGAGGAACGGAAAGGAGGCCAGGGCATGCCTGCCTTCAAGGAGGGAGCCAGGTGACCCACCACCCCGACACCACCCTCCCCAGCCTCCTGCTGGCTGGACCAGAGCCAAAGCCAGAGGCCAGACAGCCCTGTGGTGTGGGCCACCTCATCAGCCTTGCAGGTCACAGGGCAGGGTAAGCTGGAAGAGTTGATGTGAGGACAGAGGGAAGACGTGTGGCCAGGCCTGCGGCCAAGGCCAGGGCTCTGGTGCTCATCATGAGTCAGGTGGGGAGCCATGGAGGGGACGAGCAGAGAGGTGACCAGATTAGATTAACTCTTTAAAGTGTCCTCTCACTGCTCTGGAGACCGCAGGCTGTGGATCCTGGTGGAAGCGGGAGGCTGGTAGGGAGGCATCTGCTGTGGTCCAGGGGGTGGTGACATAGCTCCGGCTGAGTGGGGGCAGGGGAGGGAGGGGGCACTGCCGTCCCAGAGTCAAAGCAGAGAAGCCACACCCAGGGACTCCAGGTGCACGAGGACCAGGGATGGCGCTCAGGTTGAACAAGCAGGGGGTGGCTCTGTCCACACATAGCAACAGCCCGGACACCTGAACAGAGGGGGACTTCAGGCATTGTGAGCCCGAGGGGGTCAGAGCCTCGCCCTGGAAACCCCTGAGAACTCCAGCTCTGGCCGCAGCAAGAGAGACAGGAGCGATGAGTGAGGCGCCCAGGAATGCCCGGGGCTGGGGTCTGATATCCTCCCATCTCCTTCCTCCTGCCCATCAGGAGGACTCGCCCTGGGCCGGCTGTCCCCACATCTCGCTCCTCCCCGTCCATCAGGAGGACTCGCCCTGGGCCGGCTGTCCCCACATCTCGCTCCTCCCCGTCCATCAGGAGGATGGCCCGCGGCGGGGACAGCTGTTGGCTGAGAATCAAGGGCTCCTCCAAGTCCACCTTCCACGCCGCCAGCCCCGAGCGTCCAGTAAAACTGCTGGGACTGAGTGAGACGCGGCCTCCAGGGGACGGCTGGCCGGGCCCCGCTCAGCCCCAGGCCCAGGCAGCCTGGCAGAGGGCCCGGCTGCAGGAAGGAGACCAGCTGCGGCGTGTCCTGGAGCAGCCCGTCCACCCGAAGCCCCGTCCAGCTCCACTACTCGCAGGTAGGTGACCTGGAGGAGTGACTCCCCCTCTGGGACTCAGTCTCCCCATCTGTAAAGCTCCATCACCAGAGCTCCTCGCAGCCACCAGGGACTCAGCTCCAGCTGGTGGAGCAGAGGGAGGAGGGGGTCGAGGGGAATCTGCCCTGGGAGCTCTGGGAGGACCAGAGAGGCTGGCCTGGAGGCTGCACAGGTGGCAAGAACGCCCGGCGTCCCCGGCAGGACTGCTCCCAGGGACCCGACGCTGCTGCCTATGGGCACAGACGCCCCAGCCTGCACTTGACCCTGGGCCCGGGGTCAACAGTGGAGACTCCTCACCACCCTCAGTCCATGTGGCTTCATCCTCTCCTGTGCACGAGGTTGTCATGTGACCCACGCCTGGGCCAACGAGCATCATCCCTGGGGCTTTGCTGGACTCCCTGAGGGAGGTATCTGGTTTCTGCTGAAGTTGCTAAATTGGTGGATAGAAGCCTAGAGCTGCTGGGGACCAGTTTGCCCCCAACTGGAAGAGCCTGTCTGAGAATTTCCTCAATGCAGGGGAAAGCAGAGCTGAGAAATGGAGAGAGGAGGCATCTTAACACTGTAGGAGCCCCTGGATGTAGCCCGGCCTGAAGCCATATGGTCAATGAGCAAAACTGAGCCAGGTATTCTGTGTTTCTTTGTTTGTTCTTGGTTTTGTTTTAGGCCAGTTTGATTTGAGCTCTGCCACTTGCAACCCAGAGACCAAGGAAGGAACTCCAAGGAAACACCTGTTATATTGCAGGAAGGTGTGGCATTAATTCCGAGAGTCAGGGACCTGGAGGTGAGGAAAGAAGAGTGTGAGAGATGAGGGTCCCTGGTCCTTTCCCACCAATATCCCTCGAGATGCTGGAATCCCACCATCAGCCACTAGAGGAATTGGGCTGGGGTGTGGGCTCGGCAGGAGGGGCCCTCCAGCGTCACCAGCCCCTCTCCTCCCAGAGGTAGGCAGACATCCTCCCCTGGGGCCCAGGCTCCCTGCCTGGAGTGAGTGCAGTGCAGCTTATGGGGAGGGGACGCCCAGATGCTGCCCTCACAGTCCCACCTTCTCTGAGCCAACAGCCCACCAGGGGCACCGGCCTCTGGCATCTTCCCTCTCACATCGGAGGAAACGCCGCTGGAGACGCGGGCAGAGCTGTGTGTTGGCACCAAACACACCTGAGAGCAGGACCGCCCTCTGCCTCCCGCGCTGTGTGACACAGGGCAGGCCCTTGCCCTCCGAGCCTCAGTGTGGCAGCCTGTGACACAGGACAATGGAAAGGTCCACCCTGCAGGGAGGGAGGCAATGTGTATAAAGCCCGGTACACAGCCGGTGCTTAGAAACCCTGTGCGTCCTAGTCCCCAGCAGAACGGCACGGGCAACGGTGCACAGGTAGAAACGGGTCTCCCCTCTGTCCTGAAATGAGGGGGACAGGAGGGCGAGGCAGGTGGGAATGTGTGCGGTGTGTGAAGGCAGACCTCACAGGCCACCCGTCCTGACTGTGGATTCCCAGTTCCTAGTAGGGGTGGATCTGGTGTAGGAATTCTCAGCTCGGTGGTCCCGAACCCCAGGGCTGTTCTGAGAATTGTGGGGGGATTTTTGATCATCATCATGATTGGGGGCCCGTGGACAAGCAGTGCTGTGGCCGGGGGCTCAGACATCATGTCCTCAGTACGTGGGACAGTTCTGTACCCCATCCAGCCGGCTTCCCACGCCCAGCGGACGGTCACGGAGCCGGAATCCCTCCCAGCTGGGGTCGTGGTTGGGTCTCCTCAGGAGCAGCCCTGCGTCCAGGACCCGAGGGACTCCGGCGTAGGCGTCGGGGAGGGAACACAGTGGACACCAAGGTGCGGACAGACACGTGACCTTGAGGGCCGGCACTCAGGCTGCAGGGCCCCGGGGAGATGGTCCAGGGCGATGCTGGCATCTGCGAGCCCCGGGCCGCTAACGCATGTGCACACACCCTTCCTCGTGTGCACTGAGGCCGCCCCTGGGGCCCGAGCTCCCTGGACGTCCCCCTGCAGCTCGTGAGCGTCAGCCTCGGGGACAGAGAGCGTCTGAGGCGGAGGCGGGGGGCTGGGAGCACGCTGGTGCCCTAGGAAGGAAGGGGCGGGGGGCATGGGGCCAACAGGGTGACAACTGCTTCTGGGTTTACCCTCTTCCCGGGATTCTAGGATGCGCTGGAGTTTTAGGAAAGCATCTCCCGCTGACATTGAGGGCAGACCGTCCACCGGATGGAACACCCACCGCAGCGCTCTCGTGGGGTCAGATCCCCGCAGGGCAGGCGGGCCAGTCTGCGGTTGTCGCCATGGCGGTCACTGTCCTGCGCTGCCGGCCTCGGTCCAGGGCCGGTGCGCTCAGGACTCGCACATGACAAACGCTCCATCAGAGCCAAGGACGTGTCGCTAGCATGGCTGCGTCTCACCTTTGCATAGCGGTCAGGGCCCTCACTGACCCCTGTGTGACAACGTGAGGCTACGACACGTCACTCGAGGACCGTCACTCGGAACCGTGAGGGAGCCGTTCCCAGGCGTTCCTCGTTTGCCGGCCTGCTTGGTGGGGTCTCCGTCCAGGATCTGAGCCACAGCATCGAGCGCGTCCTCCCCCAGCCCCCGACTCGCCCGGGAGGCTGAGAAGCAGCAGCGGGGCCGCGGTCCAGGCTGCCCGCAGAGCCTTCCTCCGGAGGAGCAGACAGCGCACGTGACAGGGGCCCCGAGAGCCCCCAGGCCTGGGGACCAGGGAGGCCTTCCCTGGGGAGGCGGAGCCCAGCAGAGCCCAGCTGCCGCCCTTCCCCTCCCCCTGGAGCAGCCCCTAGCCCTGAGGTGGGGACAGCAGCTGGAGGGGATGGGCGTTTCAGAGAGGAGCTGAGGCCACTGCTCCAGCGTGCAGGAAGCACAACTTTTGTTCTTTTCCTCGGCTTAGCGCAATCTCGGCTGCATTGGACCAGGTGGGTCAAGCCCAGATTCTGGATCCAGGATGCCAGGTTGGCACCCACCTCCTCCCAGCAGTGTGACCTGGGCCACGTTCACTGGGGTGCTCCGTGCCTCGGTTCCCTCATCTGTGAAATGGGGCAATACTAGAATCCTTTCCTAGTGTTGCTGAGAGGATTAAAACACGTTCCCATGGAAACACTTAGAACAACGCCTGCGAGTTAGCTGTCTTTACTTCTCTTTTCTGCACAGATGCTGGAAACCTGACCTCAGGCAATTTGTTGCTGATCCTTCCCCTTTTCCGAGGATTTACCTGTTCCAGGTGACAGGCGGACCAACATGGTCCTCAGGCACCATCCCTCTGACCCGTCAGACTGGGTCCTGGGTGTTGGCTCCACGGTTGCCATGGAGACGCTCCTTGTGCCTGTCCCTCCTGGCCTGACCATTGGCTCTGCTACTTCAGTGACCCCTGGTGCTTGTGGAGGTCACCCCGTGGCTCCTGCACTGGGAGGGAGAAGCGCTCTCTGCCATCCTCACAGACTTGACTACTCAGGGCAGGGGTGGCAAATGCAGGTGCCTGAGGGGTGGGCTGGTGACCTGAGTGTGGGAACGGGCCGGTGGGGACTGCAGGAGAGCACTGGCCGTGTGTCGGGGTGGCTGTTCCTCAGCTCTGACCACTTGTCCCGTGAGGGAAGCCATGCCCCGTCCGGCTTACTTTTGTGGTTTTGAATGAAGTTGGGGTTTTCGATGTGCAATAAACTGTAGTTTTTCTTTTAATAGTGGCAAAAAATACCATTTTAAAAAGCAGCGTGTGAAGGCAAGACTAAAAGGCACACAGATGGGAAAAGAAGAACTCAAACAGACCTTCTTTGCATTCATATGATTGTTTATATAGAAAATCCCAAGGAATGCAGACACACAAGAAAACCTCCCAGAAGTTGACAGTGAGATTAGCAAGGTCAACACACAAAAAGTCAAGCATATTTCTATACAATAGCAATGCACAATTAGAAAAACAATTTTAAATACCATTTAGGAGAGCTCTCCCAAGACGAAATACTTAAGCATAAACCTAACAAACATGCGTAAGATTTTATGCTTTAAATTATGAAACACTGATGAAAGAAATCAAAGACCTAAATAAGTGGAAAGACATACCATGTTTATGGATTGGAATACTCAACATAGTAAAGATGTCAATTCTCCCAAATTTATTTACAGATTTAACACAATATCGATCAAAATGCGAGAAGTTTTTTAAAGATAATGCGTTTTTTTAAAGATAAACTAATTGTAAAACGGATAGGCAAAGGAACTAGAATAGCTAAAACAATTTTGAAGAGGAATAATAAGGTTTGAAGAATCACCACCCCATTTTAAGACTAACTATAAAGCTCTAATAATCAAGACAGTGTGGCATTGATGAAGAAATGGACACACGGATGAATGAAAGAGAACAGAGAGTCCGGATCAGACCCACACAAATACGGCCAATTGATTTTTGACAGAGTACAAAAACAAGTCAATGGAGAACAGATACTACACTCAATAGATGGTGTTGGAACAACCGGTCATGTCTATGAAAAAAAAAAATGGACCGCACTGTAAACCTCACATCGTGTGTTAAGATTAACTCAAAGTGGATCATAGATCTAAGTGTAACAGAAAATTACAAAATCCCCTCACTTCCGATAGCTTGGTGGTTGGGAGTAAGGAATTAAGTTGAGAGGACAGGGTCAGGTTGGATGTCCTGCTCCCCCGAGTGTGTGGACCAGATTCAGTCCACAGGCTGACTCAGGATCATACTTGCGGGACTGGGATGTCACTGAGATTGGGGACGGGGTCTGTTTCCTCCCTGTGTCCCCAGCACCCAGCACAGCCCCGGCCAGCAGTGAACACAGGCTGCCTCTGTGTGGCTCACCCCAGTGAGGGGTCTGCAGGCCTCATCCCCTCTCCCCACCTCCCCCATGCAACGCCCCCAGCAGCCCCAGGCATGAGTCTGCCCAGACCCAGAATCCCTGACCTTTAGGGGCTCAGGTGTCAATTGGGCCTGATCAGAGAGGGAGGGAGTGGGAGGGGCGGAGAGAGAAACAAAAGACAAGCAAGTGGAAAATACTCCAGGCCTGGAAGAGCACCCCTCCGCAGCTGTCGGGGCCGTGATGCCCGTGACAGCCTCCCCAGGCCCGGCTCCCACCACCAATTCAGCAGATGCTTACCGAGTGCCCACAGCCGGGCACCCAGGGTCAAGTCCAGCCTACGGATGTGTGAGAGGGGTGGAGGGGATTCAACACTTCAAACATTGGGTAAATAGGATGGAGAGCAGTCCCAAATAAGTGGCACTGCCCAGCACGTGCCCACTGCATAAGCAGCCGCTCCAGCTGTGCCCTGTGGTCCTGGCCTCCTTCACCTGCAGACACTGGCACTCTCTGCTGTAACTGATGAGGCCCACGTCACAGCCACATTCAGAGACCTGCGTCCACCCACCAGCAGGGCATCCAGGAAGCCACGTCCCCCATGTCCCTTCCTACCACAGCCCTTGTCCTAAGAGCCCAGGTCTGAGAACCAGGCCCCTGCCGGAAGCTTCAGCTGACAGGGTATTGATCAGAGTGTCGGTCAAAGGGGCCTTGAACTGCCCAGGCTTCTCGCAAGGCCTCTGTGATCCTGGCTCCAGGAACCTGTGCTCCAGGGCCCAGCAGAGCAGCCCGGAGGCTTCTGCAGGAGGCAGGAGGGGCAGGTGGAGTGTGCGAAGAAGAGGACCCCAGGGGAGCCAAGACCTGGGTTCTGCTCTGCCACCAGCTGGGCCCCGAAAGCTGGCATTCTGACTTTTCAATCTCTATTATAGGTAATTAATAGGAGCCACAGTTCATTCTGTGATCTGCAAATGCCTGGAGGCCCTACAGGGTCCGGCCCCACTGTCGCTGTGGCTTCATCCCCTCCAGCTCCCCTGCTCGCTCTGGCAACCACAGCGGCCTCCTGCCTGATCTCGAACTTTGTGCCCAGCGCGGGCTGAGCTCGGCGCCCACAGCCCCGCGTCATCCTGCTAACAGGTCCCGGGGCACTGGCCCCACTCTAAGGGCTGCAGGCCCGGGCACAGCAGCTCACGCGGCCTAGAGCTGAGACTGCGGCCCCCGCCGGGGTCACTCCCTCTGCCTGCGCCCTCCCACCGCCCAGTTGACACCCCGGCCCTATCTGAAGCCACATGCCAGGTCCCGGGACCATGAGGGGCTCTGCCAGGTGTGGGATCCACCCCTCGCCTGTGATTGGCGGGGGGTGACCACGTCTGACCAATGGGTGCGAGGGGCGTGTCCTGGGCTCCTGGGAGAACTTTGTCTCCGGAAAACGATGCTGCTTGTAAGGCGGAACAAAGAAAACGAAACAAGAACCTGCGCACACACTTTTTTTGCCCGGACCCCTTCTTTCCTGCTTTGCACAGTGTCACCGGCCCGTGTCCCACCTCCCCGCACCTGCCCTGGCCCCGCCCCGTCACACCCTCCCCGCTCCCCGTCTCCCCATCACCGCAGTTCTCTCCACGCGGGGCCCGAGGGAGACTTCAAGCCCCGCTCAGGTCCCTGCTGTGCCGGGACATCCCGCTCCCATCTCGCTGGGAGTAGAAGCCCAACCCCTCGCCCGGGCCACGGCGCCGCAGGGGCCGACCTCGCCTCCCCCTCCTCTCTGCCCACGTGGCGCCCTCCACACCCGCCCTGCAGCTCCTCCCACTCCTGGCGGTGCCCACCGGGCCTTTGCCCTGCTCTGCGCTCCTCCTGGAGCCTCCGCCCGCCCCCGTATCTGCCTGGATCCTCCCATTCCCAGGTCTCTGCTCACGGGTCCCCTTCCGCAGAGTCCCCTCGTCCTCCCTTGCTGACATAGCACCCGTTACTCCCGGCCCCTTCCCCTGACATATTTTTCTTCCTAAGATTTATCCCGATCTAACGTTGTATTTTATATTTAATCATTTACTGGTTCAGTATCTGTCTCCTGTCTCTGAAATATACGCTCCGAGAGGGCAGGAATTTAAAGCTTTTTTTCCCCACTACTGAATTCACGCGGTTCCTAGAAACGGCACAGGCACTTAGCGGTCGATGGATAATTGCTGAGTAAGTGAATGGAAGGAAAGGATAGAGATGTGCAGCAGGATCTGATGGGCAGCACTGGCTAACACTCCTAGAGAGCCCACTATGTGCTGTCACCTTTCGCAGGGCTCCACACCTCATTCATTCATTCATTCGCTCACTCACTCATTCATTATTTCACTCAAACACGTGTTTCCTGAGCACCTACTATGTACCAGCAACTATGTGGGCTCCAGGACTAAAGCCATGAGCAAAACATCAAAAATCCCTTTATTCAAGGACTTAGTTTCCATGGTGGAAGCCGGACAAAGAGTGAAAGAGAACTAAATCTCAGGGAGTGCTCGATGGTGGATTAAGTGCCATCAAGGGAAGTGAGGGGGAGGGGGAGAGGAGGTGGGGAGGGGCTGGACTGGGACTTTTAACGGGGTGGCCGGGACAGCTCACTCAGAAGCAGCTTTTGAGTCAAGACCTCAAGGAGCCTGTCGAATCCTCCCCACACCCTACAAGGGAGGGACCATCATCATCCTTATTTTCCATGGGAGAAAAGTGAGGCTCAGAGAGGTTCAGAAACTCGCCCACGGCCACACAGCTGGCGAGTAGCACAGCCGGTTCCAACCCCACAGTCTGGTTGTAACTCTGCTCCTCCAGGTCTCGTCCAGATCCTCGGGGGCTCTGGATCTGGGGGGTCCCAGGCTGTGTGTTCCCCCAGAGCTTTGGGGCACTTCCTCTTGGGGCCTCTCTCCCTCCACCCTCCCAACTTCCTGAGGAGCAGGAAGGGGAGACGCTGTACATGCAGCTAGAATTCAATTCAGTGTCAACTCTGGACCCTCATTTTCAGGGGATAATTCAATTACTTTTTAATCACAAACAGGATATCCGCATTCCCTCTGCGTGAGCTCCGGCCAGGGTCATGGGGTGGGGAGGGGGGGGCATGCCAGGGGCGGGGAGCTGCAGGAGCCACTGTCCAGGCCCTGCACGTCACGTCTGAGGGTGCAAGCGTGTGTGCAAATGACCCTCCTGCCCAGGCACCAGACAGCCCCCGAAGATGCTCCTGTGAGTTCTGCCTGATGTGGGCAGCTGTTCAGATATATATTTGTCCCCAACAGCCTGCCTCCTCTCCAACCCTTAAAACAGCTCAAAAAGGGAGCTGTGACAGAAGAGCCTGACATCAGAAGTTTCCACTAAAACAAGAAAAGGGACCCACTTTGAAGTCAGTCCTGGGATGCGGGCTGCAGAGAGGCATCTGCGGTGAGGCAGCAGGTCGTCCTGACCAGGGGCTTCTGGACCCAGCGGAGAGCGACCCCAGTGCTCGGGGTCCCTGCAGGAAGAGACACCTGCAGACTCTGCAGCGGCACTGACAGAGTTGGACCCATCCCGTCCTGCTTGCTCCCCGGGGGAGCCCCTCCCTGCACCCTCGTCCTGGGCCTCCTCTGGCTGGAGGGTCCCGGCATCCAGGTCAGGGGGGTCAGTACTGAAGAGTCTCCCAGGGCGGCAGTCTCCTGGCCACGAGCAGGTGCAGCCTGGGGACCGTCCCCAACACTCTGGCCTCCTAGGGGTTGAGGCAGCATGGCCTGCTGTGTAGACCTGGGAGCAGAGGGAGCTGGTTCAGAGGCTGCTCTGGGGCTGCCAGCTGAGAAGGGCTGAGGGCCCGCCGCCCAGGAGCAGCCTGGTTCTGGCGGGGAGGGGTGCATCTGAGCTGGGCCAAGCCCAGAACCCCCTCGGAGGGGTGGGCACAGATGGCGGCAGCAGCCCAGGACAGCCCTGCCCTTCCCGGCCCACCCTCTGCCTGAGCCGCCCAAAAAGCGCCTTCTGTTGCTTCCTTCCCCCCTTGACCCTCCGCCCCAGTGCCCCTCTGCTCCTGTCCAGGACATGTGGCTCTGAGCACCATGCGCTCCCGGGAGCAGATGGCAGCCCCCAGACCCCCAAGTCATGTGCCACCCGCCTTTCACATGAAAATGGCTGAGACAGCAAGACGGAGTCCGCCAAGCCAACCTGGCCAGGCAGTGAGGATGCGAGGCCATGTCCACACCAGGTGCCTGGAGCAGCCCTGGACAACGGCCTGTGGTTGGCGCCTCTCCCTCCTGTGGCCTCCATCCCTCAGAGCCCTGTGCATCCTCTACCCTCAACAATTCCACCTGTTTTCTCCCCTCCCCCTGCTCTCTGAGGCCACAGGATGGGAACACCAGAGAGCCAGACTGTCCAGCAGCCCGGTGAGTGGGGGGTCTTCCATTTTAAAGCAACACCCAGACCCCCAAGGTGAAGAGCAGAGCAGGGCATTGCTGCTGGGACCAAGAGGAAACAGCCCCTGAGGGAAAGACTCCAGCCCTGGCACTCACAAGGCCTCCTCTGTGCCCTCACAAGACCCGGGGGCAGCGGAGAAGGGGGGGCGCCCCACTGTTCATTCCGTTGTTGACCCGTCCATTCAACAAATGCGCAGGGTGCTCCCCAGTCAGAAGGTGGGGGTGATAACAGTCCCTGCTCAAAGGTAGTTGGAGGCCTCATTCTCGAAGGTTCTGGGAGCTTCTGGCACGGCCTGGCTCAAAGGGTGTGGTCATCAGTGTGTCCTCTCAGGCCTGAGATCTCCCGGAAGCCAGTGGTGACCGGACTTCCCCGCCCACCTGCGCTATCTCGTCACTCTCTTATGTGTCCTGCTCACTCTCTGAAATAACCTTCTTTGTTTATTTGCTCATTCTGTCTTTTCCCCCCAGAATGTGAGCCTCATGAGAGCAGGGACTCTGCCTGTCACGTTTGCTGCAGGATCCCCAGGCTCTGGAACAGCAAGTCCTGGCACAGAGTCAAGCTACAAAAGCGTTTGTTGAGTGAATGAATAGCTTAGGCCAGTGAATGGATGGAAGAACGAAAGAATAAATGAATGGGCTTTGCATGACCTTGGCCCTGCTCCTTGTCTGGACTCATTGCTACCATTCTCCCTGCACTTACTCCTGCCCCAGGCTGCCCCAGGACACTTGCTTTTCCTGCTCCTGGAACACTCTTCCCTGGTGTGGCTCATGTCCCGCCCCGCCCTCCTTCAGGCGTCTGTATGACGTCAGCATCCCAGGGCCTCTGACCACCTGGTCTGAAACTGCAGACCGGCCCTGACTCCTGCCATTTCCCATCCTCTCACCCCACTGGCTTTCTTTTCTCCGCAGCACTTAGTATCTTTTGCTATAAGAATAACGTCTCTGTTTTGTTTATCGGCTCTCACTCCCCACTGGAACGTCACTCCAGGAGGGCAGGGATTGGGGCCGTCTTATTGGCTGATCCTGCCCATGGTCTTAGAACAGCGAGCGGCTGGCACATCACAGATGACCAGTAAATACTTGCTGAATGAATGAACGATCGGGAGGTCAGACAAAGACGCTGGAGTAAGGGGGCTGGGGCAAGCAGAGAGGGCTTCCTGGAGGAGGGGACATGAGTCGGGACTGATGGGATTAAGAGAGGGAGAGAGTGGCTAGGAGAAAATTCCAGGTAGCATAAAGGATTCAAAACCAGAGGCAGTTTCGCGGGGCCTGGAGCTGGGCTGTCACGGGTATCGTCTTCCTTTTTGCTCCCCCTCAAATGCTTAGATCTTATGCTGTCTGACAAGGGTTATTTGAAAATTTATTCAATGTTTTATTCATCCTTAAATTCTTTAAAGCTGCAAATCAAACAGTCGAGGGGTTCTTTGCTAACCAAGTTCCAGGCCCCTGTGTTGCAAATAACTCTGCTCTTTTGCATACCAAGCAGACCTTTCTCTGTCCCTGGAAGATGAATTTCTCTGGCGTTCATTGCTCTAATTGCATCCACAGTGAGGTGGAGCAAACATCCTCTCTTCCGATTTGCATTATGCAAAACCTTAATCTCCTCAAGTTTCTGAAAGCACTGTGAATGATTCACGGCCTCTGGCCGGGATGAAACAGCTTGATCGACCAGTCCATGTAAATTAGATTTATTGGGGGAAAATAAAGGAGCCTTGATACTATAAGCTATGGGGAAATAACCCCCCCGAGTGTGGAGGCCCCGTAAATGTGCTTCCTAGGGAAACAAAATGGGGCAGTTGACCACACACGTATTGTTGGATTTATGTCCTTCGTTCAATTATCAGAATGAAAAGGACAATGGACTTCTGTTTCAGGCAAACTAGTCTGCTGTCAGGGTGGGGTGAGGCGGGGAGGCACTGGTCCTCTGTGAACTGGGGGCAATCTGGCCTGAGAAAGGCCCCTGGAAGGCGAGGCAGGAAAGCAGGATGCTCAGGGTCACAGCAAGCGCACCCGACAGAGATCTGACTTTGAAACCTAGCTGTGCACGTTCATTGCTTTGTGACATCAGACAGGTTACTTAACCCCTCTGGGCTTTAATGTCCTCCCTGTCACTGAGGATAACAAAACCTCCCAGACCAGGTGGTTGAGGATTAAATGCCGTTCTGAACAGAAGCTTTGTTGGGCACCTTCCGTGTGCAGGCTCTGATCTATGCTCTGGGGAAACAGCAGAGACCAAAATGGACAAGGCCCTAACTCAGGGTGCTTAGAGAGAACAGCCAGGAAAGACTTCTGTTGCCTGGGCCAGCTCAGACAACCCTAAGGCCTGTGAAGTGAGTGAAACAGCAAGTGACTTGGGAGAGGGACAGTAACATTAGCCGGATAACATGGTCAGACCCAAGACTGCAACAGTGGGCACGGGTGACAACAGCCCCTCTCAGATGCTGGTGTTGGTTGTTAGAGCCATAAATCCATGCAGATCTGGCCACCACCGCCCGCCAGCCATGGGTGTCCTGGGTTCTGGCGTCAGGTGTCAGGACTGAATGCAACCAAACATATTCATTAACAGATGTATTATTATTTTTACTACCATCGTTATTGTTATATTTGCTACCATTTTACAGATGAGGAAACTGAGCCTGAGCATGGAATTTACAATCAGCAAGACATTCCTACGTAATACACACCCTGTCATCCATCTCTAAATTCATCTGCCTGGAGATGAGTAAGAAAGGACCACCTTGCTCCTCTGACCGGTTCTTGAGCTATTGGCTGTCGGCTGAAAATTCGCTCTTCTAGGTGCTACTTTTTGGTACGGGTTCCGTCTTCGCAAATCACGTTTCGCCCTTGTTCCGCTCCCTGTTGGGCTTTGCTGATGCAGGGCACTGGGGGGAGACACGGAGGAGGGCAGGAGGGTTTGCTCTTTCCTGTCTGCTTCCTGTCCCTGTTTCGCGTCTTCTTCCTGTTTGTTTCACGGTCCCAGTCAATGTCACCTTAGTGCCCTCAAACATACCGGCACCCACCAGACAGTGCTGGATGGTTCTCAGCCCCACAGGGCGAGTTCTGCAAGCTCCCCCTTCCAGGCTGTTGTGTTAGCATTACAACCTCTTCCCTTTGTGCCCAAGCCCTAAAGTGGAAGCTGATTCCCTCAGTGGCCACCCTCGTGACACCTCAGTGCAGGGGTTGGCGAATTTTTTCTGGTCACATAGAAAGGGCCGCATAATAAGTAGTTTAAGCTTGCAGGCCATATGGCGTCTGTTGCAACTACTCAGCTCTGCCCTTGCAGTGTGAAAGCAGCTGTACACATCGTGTAGACAAATGGGCACGGCTGTGTGCCAATAAAACTTTATTTACAAAGACAGACAGCCCACCTGTGAACAACAGTGTGCCAGTCTCTGGCTTAGTGTTGTCTCTTTGCATTTCAAGTCTTCAATACCTAATTAACAATTATGTATATAGTCTTTTGATTGTTGTTAAAATAACTGGCATGGTTTGTGTCTCCTGAATGGATTCTCATTCATACAGACTGGAACCAAGATTATGGTTCACATTTGACTGACTAACTAAGGCTTTTAAGGTACTTGTTACTTTTTTTCCCATTGGGTCCAAACAGCAAAAGGTCAACCACGTCGTGGACCAGTGTGATGTCTGTTACAATGAAAACAAGATCAAGAATCTCTGAAGACTCTATTGTGGCAAAAAGCAGGAGAGCTGGCGCGGGCTTGAGGCAACACCGTGAGCAGTAAGAGCAAACTGCTTCCTACAGTCCTTGCAAATTGGTCTAGAAGAAATACAGCATCTGCCAGGTCAACAGCTACATACGAGGTGTCAGGGCGTTTGCTGAGATGCTCAAGCTAAGATAATGTGTCTGGAACGGCAGCTACGATTGAAGGCACCATCTGATTAGGTTGGTAGTAATCCACAGTCATTCTCCAAGAACCATCTGCCTCTGCGTAGGCCAAACAGGCAAGTTAAATGGAGACGTGATTGGACCCCCCAGCCCTGCGCCTTTCAAGTCTTTGAGGTGTTGCTAGTCTCTGCAGTTCACCCAAAAATCCTCTCCCGGCTAGGAAGGAAGTTACCATAGAGCTGCATTTAGGTCTTACTACTCTAATGGCTTTTTGTCCATGAGTCCATCCAGCTGCAAAGGAACTTGGGAAACAGCATGAGGTGGATCTACAGACCTACGGGTCCACTGTGATTTCAACTTGGGTCAAAATTCCATTTATTACCTGATCTCTCTAAAAACAATTAGACAAGAGGCCATTACTCGCCATTGTGGTGGTTCCCGGCCGCCAGATCTTTTTCTGTTATATAATTCCAATAACATTACAGTTCATTGCCCATCTATTTCATTTCTAAGAACACCATGATGAATAAGCCATGAAAAGGTTTCCTGAGACGTTCTGATCACCTCTTCGTTTCTCTTGGAAAATCTGGTAAGCAGCCCCATCTCGTCTTTGGGGGATAAATGCTGTCACTTGTCCTCATCCCCACTGACGTCTCCCATCTGGTGTCTCCCTCTGGCATCTCCCTCTGGCATCTCCACCGTCACGTCTTGCCTACTGAGAACAGCTACTTATGGATTTTCAAGGACACAGGTGCCCCCTCACTACCATGTCCCTCGATGCCTTAGTGAACAGAGTGTCACCAGACCCTTTTGGAGCACGTGGTGCAGTAGAAGGAGTGGCTGCGTGTATCATTCGTGATAAAGTCACTCCAACATCCTGATGTCCCTAAGCCTTTGGGTTTCTTCCTTTGCATTTTGCAAGGAACATTCTGTTATCCCAACCTCATTAAATGAGGGCCGCCATTGAGACCAAGTGTGGTCACCAACCAAGTAAACAGCCCCTTCCAGCCGAGTGAGCTAACCATTAAATTAGAATCCCTACTAAGTGCGCCCGTATCAAAACTTCACCTTGACCCCGTGTGACATCCTGTCCTCCTTAGTCTGAGCCTCTGAGAATCTCTTCCTGCATGTTCTCCCCAGCTGCCTGCCAATGTCACTCAGCAAAATCCTGCAGTCACTTTGCTGTTTATGTTGCTTCCTCCCGGGTCAGACTTTGTGCTTGTCCGCCTGGAACGTGCTGACATCTGACCCTCGTTTAGTAGCAACAAGGGCAGTTGGGGTGGCGTTTGAGGGGCATAGGTAGCCGCTTGCGAGGAGACCTTGTCATAACCTTGTAGGGAGACCTGGCAGGAGGCTGCCTCTGCTTAGTTCTACTTGCTTCTCTTTGGTTCCTGTTCCTTTATTTCGCAGTTTGTGTGATTTCCAATGCCCACTATGAGAGCAGACACATAGAAGATGCACAATAAATATATTTGGGATGGATTAATAAAAACATTTTAAGGGTAAGGGCCAAGCATTTGGAATTCTATTTTATTTTTTAATTTGTAATAAAGCAACTGTCAAAATTTAGCCTCTGTCTCCAGTTAAACCTCCTTTAAACAGAAGACCCAGTTGTCCAGCTCCTCATAAGCCACATCTTGGGCTAATGAGAAGCCCCACAGGGCAGACTCAGGCCTGATGTCACCAAACCTTCACATCTGGAACATGATTCTTGGCATCCAATACATGCTCAGTAAATGTCAGCTGGATAAATGAATGAATGAATGAACGTGGGGCATTGCCTCAAGAGGCCTCTTCCTGAACCATCCATCTTGGTTGGGTATTGGTCGCGCCTCGCCCACCCGCTGTCTTCTCTGCCTTGTGCTCAGAGATAGACTGATCTTTCATTCCCACCAGCGAATTCTCTCCCAGTCGTAACCTGATGCAGTTCTATGACCAACAGGTGGCAGGCCATGAGTGTGGTGGGTTCCACTATCACGTCTCAGGGCTAAAGGCAGACCCAGCCGTGCCTCAGTGGGCCTCTTTGAGCCCTGAGGCCTCTCCATGGAGCTCCTTCCCAGACACCCACTGTGACTCATGGCAGCTCAGGGGCTGTGCTCAGGCCATACGTTTGACTTCACGGGCGCCTCGCCCATTGCGACTCCTGGCCTTCAATCTCCACTCAACTCTGACGTGGTTCTGGCACCAGGAAGTCACGAGTTTCAGATTGCAGGCCCTCTTCCCAGCCCCAGGATGTGAATCTTGATGGATTCAAGCCAGTAGTGTTAATCCTGGTGGACTCAACGACCTCTCAAAAGAAGAAATATCCTTAACGACCTCTCTACCGCCCTGCAATGAAAGTCATAAATAATTTACCTATAACATCACATGTACTTAAAAATCCATTATAATGCTCTAAGTGGATTACAAAAAGGAAATAAAAGGAAAATAATTTGTCATAAAATCAGTCATATTTCAGTATGCAAATGAGCAGGCACAGACACGAGGAGACACGATGGATAGCTGGATCCTTGCCGACATCTGGAGAATAAGTTTGGGTATGAGAGTAGGAGCAGAGTCGCCCCACAACAGAAGGGCAGAAAAATGAAAGAGACACTTGAATATCAATAGTGCATTCAGTACACATTAAAATCTCGCGCACATATTTTGTTTTGATATAAAGTTGACATAGGTTCTAGGCTAAGATGATTAAAATGGCTCTTCACACATGTGAGTGCCCCGTCTGTCTTGTGTAGACTGTTCTACCCAATGTAGGCTATTCACCATGCCTGGCCCCTCCCTCCTAAATGCCAGGAAGGTCACCGATCATTGAGACAAGCCAAAACACCCCCTATTTCCAACGTGTCCCCAGGGGGTGTACCTCTTTGGTGGAGGACCACTGGCCACCCACGATCAGCCCATCTCCTCCGCTGGCAACTGGTCCAGGAGCAAGCACGGGATGCAATTGTGGCCGAAGGCACATGAGAGAAAATCTGCTGGGGCTTCTGGGAAAGGTTTCTGGTCCTCTAAAGAGGCAGAAGGAAGAAACACATCCCCTTCTCCTTCTGCCTCCGGGCGAGGTCGCATCGGATGCGATGCCTGGAGCTGCGCAGCCTTCCTGCAGCCGTCCAGGTGACAGCCTGAGAATCAAGCCAGTGAGGAGCAGACAGCTCAGCGGGGAGCTGGAAGGAACCTGGTCCTCGATGAGCCAGCCGAGCCGAGAGCTGCCTGGAACACCCCCTGATTCCTTGGCTTACGAAGTAATAGACTGTCTCTATTACTTAGCTACTTGTTTGGGAGTGTTCTGTCTCTTGAAGCCAAAAATATCCCATCTGTGACAGGTAGGGACAGTTTTGCTCATTACCATAATCCCTTCTATTTGGTGGCAAAGACTGTAATTTACAAGGCACCAGAGCGACATTCATGTCATCTGAACCTGGCACCCCTGTGAGGTGGGGTCACGATCCCCATTCACAAATAGGAACATTGAGGCCAAGGAGGAGGGAGAGACTCCCCAGCGTGAGACCCACAGGCAGTGGCCGAGCTGGAACTTGGCCCTGGTCCTTGCTGAGTCCCCTGCAGAGCTCCCTGCCATCCCGCGCTGCACGCAGGAGGCCTTCTCGACTCTGTGACTTGATGCCTCCTCCAGGCCCCCAGGCCCTGAATCTCCACAGCCCCTCATCGCCGTCACTTTACACTATTATTGGGGTGACTTCCCCAAATTACAAGCCTGAGTCTCTAACACTCCTCATGAAAATATGCATAGCTCATCTTGAAAGAACTAATACATATTCATTAGCACAAATAAGTTCTCTGTTGGTTCTCAGATGTGGCAGGCTTTGAAAGAAATGGGACATGCGACAGGGAAGTTTTGAGCTGAGTCTAGTCCTGGTACCAGAATGAGTTTTCATTCCTTCCTTCCTTCGTCCTACCCTCGCTCACTCAGTGCACACTTAGCGAGCCCTGTGTTCTCGATACTGTGCTATCTCTTGGAGTCTCAGACTCGGGCCAGCCGCAGCCCTGCCCCTTGGAGCTGGCCTCCTAGTGGGAAGAGACAGCGGATACTCACGTGAGTAAGATGATCAGGGATCTGACAAACCCCATGAAGGAAACAGTACAGCACGATAGAACGGGAAGTGACTCCACAGGAGGCAGGGGCTCCCTCAGGCAAGGTGGTCAGCGAAGGCCCCCAGTGGGGGGAGCTAAGACCCACCTAATGGGACAGACCCCCCTCCTACTGCAACGTAGGCCTCTGAGAAGGGCCCCTTGTGCCCGGGGAGGCTGGCCTCAGGAATGGGCAATGACAGGTAGAGCAGAAATCAGATAAAAAGGTGAAGCAAGAGGCCAGTGATGAGCCCCTCTGCCACTCTTCTGTGGGGGCTTGAAGTGTGGGAGCACCGTCGGACAAGACGGAAGCACCAAGGCAATCCAGAGCCAGGCTGAACCGTCTGTGCCCTGGGACTTCCTGCGCCCAAGCTGCCATGTCCTGCAGAAAGAGGACTCGAGAGTTCACTGTCTGAAGAGAGAAGCAATGAGAAACGTCGGCCACACCGGGCCACACCGGGCTCCCTCACCGTGTCTGGTCCCAGGGGCCCTGTGTTTGTTTACTCGGCCTCTGAGCGCTGCGGGCACTAACGGGGAGGTTTGTGTGAGCTTGGGAGGCTTGAGAAAGTCACACGCACACACACACACACACATACATCCACACACATATACACCTGCACATACATCCACACACACATACAGGTACACACTACACATTCACATGCACACACATATAGACACATAGACACACATACACATACATCCACACACATACATGTACACGCATACACACACACACTCACACATAAACTCACACATCCGTCAGTGAGACTATTATTTATTAATCGCTGTAATTAAGACAGAAGCCCTTTCTGCAGCAAACATTTCTCTCTGGGAATTCAGCCGTAGACAGAAGCACGATTCCTGCACAATCACACAAATCCCGTCTCCACCTCCTCGCAGGGCGAGTTTCGTGCTATCAGAGGGCTGATCCGGGGGAGGGGCCGAGGGAGAACCAGCACGAGCCGGGCTGTTCCCCACCGAGGCCTTTACTGCTTAACCCGCTTCTGCACTGAGGGGACACAGCCGGCCCAGCCCTCCTGCCCCGCGGGCTCGGACGGAGCAGGAGCGCATCGTCTCCGCAGATGATGCTCTGGGAGGCAGTCCCCGAGTTCTGGTTCCCTGGAGTCTCTGGAAGTCACTCGTGGTGTCCACCCTCCCAGCACATGCTGGTCCCTGTGGCTGTGGCCATGTGACCCGTTCTGGCCAATGAGCTGTGAGCACAGTGATGGCCTCGCCCACAGGCTGGGCGCTTAACTGCCCGTGCGAGGCCCATCCCCAGCTCGTCTTTTCCTGCCAGGCAGCGATGACCTCGGAGAGGGCGGCTGCTCCTTGACCCCGGCTTACAAGCGAGAGGACTGAGCAGAGCCCCAGCCGCCTGCGTGGACCTGCGGTTTGAGCCAAAAGCCAGCCCGCCTGGGGGGCCTCTCAGCTTGGGAGGCTGGCTGTTACGAGCATCACCCAGCCGACCCTGACTGTGTACCAGGTGTTCAAAATGAGCCCCACCCAGGAGAAGAACCGCCACCATCCCGAGAGCCCCCGTGTTCCCGCACTGTGCTCTTCATGTCGTGTCATGTGTGTAACACAGGGTAAACGTGTGCGCGTGCTGCTCGTTGTCCTCCCCTTGACAGGAGGAAATAATACTACGGTACTCACTGAGCACTGAAATTTGCTAAGCACCTTAACATGATTCCTTCAAGCCTCACGGTAACCCTGGGAGGAAAGTGCTCTTAGTTATTCCCATCTTACAGAGGAGGACACTGAGGCTCAGGGTGCTCGTGCGTATACCCAGGACCACACAGCCAGGAGGCGGCAGAGTTGGCATCTGAACCAAGGCCCATCTGACTCCACTTCCGGTTCATGCTGAAGCCACCCCGGGCAGTGGAGGCCACCCTGAGGGCTGGGGCAGGAGGTGGGGCGCAGACACCCAGGGGTTGTGTCCTGCACCCTCTGCCACATCAACCCTGAGAGTGCCCAACGGGGACGCTGGTGTGAGAGCCGGGCACTGCCTCCACCCTGCAGGTCAGGCTGGCGCTGAGTTCAAGCCTCTGGGCAGGGGTTCTGCGCGTCACCAAACCCATCCCCCACTTTGCCTTCAGCCGGGCAGCGTCTGCCCCTTCACCTCCCGCCTCCTCGCCTGGAACGGCCCATCTTCTGAGTAAACCGCATGGATTCCTAATTGGCTTCTCAGTCGACATCACGGCTGTTTTGGGAGCAGCATCCTCGCAAATGCTTCCTTGGAGCGTTCAGGTGGAAAACGCAGATAAACACAGTCTTTGTAAAATACACGGATGCAATCTGTCCCCAGGGCCCGAGCCTGTCACCAGCCCTGGGCCCCCCTTCCACAGAGGCTTGAATCTTAGACTGTTGGCCTTTCCTCCGGATGAGGTGTGGAGAGTGGAAGAGAAACTGCAGGCTGTGCAGACGAATAACCCTCGCAGCATCCTGAGCGTTCCCGTGGCCCCGCCCCGATCAGAGCCTTCACCCGCACTCACTCATCCCCCCACACCAGCCCGTGAAGAACACACTGCTGTGAGCTCAGGCTACAGGCAGGGAAACTGAGGCACAGAATGCTCAAGTGGCTTCCCTGGGAATTTGAACCCAGGAAGTCTGTCCACAAAGCTCGCGCACTTACTCACGAGGCCCCACCCCACACCGTCACTGTCACCAGCCCTCCATCCCCGGCCACGTGCCTCAGAGCACCTGCATCTAGATTTTTCTTTAAATCAGTGCAGTTCTTATTTTCTGAACAGAATCATGAGAAAGTGTCCCTTTCAGTGTCCAGCCCACGGCTTACATCACCTGTTTGGGCATTTCTTCATGTTTTAATGAACCAGGAGCCCCCAAGGGGAAGCATCCTGGACCCCCTCTGACTGACCCTGGCCTCAGCGGCAGCATCTCCCATCCCAGGAGCCGCTGGTGGACCTGGGGCTGGAGCGATGACCTGGGTTTCCCTGCCATGTGCTCATCCACGGCTCTGAGGCTCCTTAACCTCGTGACCCTGGGTGAGCCCCTCACCCCTCCATCTCCACTGTGGGGGTGGTGGGCCAGTGCCCCTCACAGGGCTGCTGTGGGATCAGTGAGGTGACATGTCACGGGAACACCGTGCCCAGGACATAGCAGGTGTTCCGCTAACCTATCATCATATTGACTCTTCAACCCCAGATGGACACTGGGATCTTGCTCCTCTGTTAACCGAGAGGAGGGAGGCCAGATGGCCTTTGATGTCCATCGGGCAGGGTCACGTTCTGGGCCTCCACCCTTGGGCAGGGTCACGTTCTGGGCCTCCACCCTCGGGCAGGGTCAGACGTTCTGGGCCTCCACCCTCGGGCAGGGTCACACGTTCTGGGCCTCCACCCTCGGGCAGGGTCAGACGTTCTGGGCCTCCACCCTCGGGCAGGGTCAGACGTTCTGGGCCTCCACCCTCGGGCAGGGTCACGTTCTGGGCCTCCACCCTCGGGCAGGGTCAGACGTTCTGGGCCTCCACCCTCGGGCAGGGTCAGACGTTCTGGGCCTCCACCCTCGGGCAGGGTCAGACGTTCTGGGCCTCCACCCTCGGGCAGGGTCAGACGTTCTGGGCCTCCACCCTCGGGCAGGGTCAGACGTTCTGGGCCTCCACCCTCGGGCAGGGTCAGACGTTCTGGGCCTCCACCCTCGGGCAGGGTCAGACGTTCTGGGCCTCCACCATCAAGTCGGGTCCCACTTGGAACAGAGCAGGGATGAGCGAGGGAGGATGGCAGGGTGTTCCTTCCCCCTTTTTGTAGCTGAGTCTCTGCACAGGACCCAGGTCTGGCTTGGCTGCTGCCAGGACACGCAGACATGGCAGCACCTCCCACAGCCCCCCAGGTGACAGTGCCCAGAACCCCCTGCCAGCTCCTGACAGCAGGTGGTGTGATGGATGGAGGGGCAGCCCCGCCCCCCACACCCGAGCCTCCTGCCCTCCCCTGATGGGCTGCTCCCCAGCGGCCTGGAGCTCCATCGCCCTCCAATGTCGGCCACGCACCACAGAAACAAGTCCCACCCGTCAGAGCCATCCCTGCGTTCTTTCCCAAAGAGCTGTTTGCGCCAAAAGCCGGAAGAGAGAGTGGCCCCTGCCCAGCTGGCCCTCCTCCAGCCTGTGGGCCTGTGGCGTTCCTGTCCCTGGAACAGCGCATCCCGGCTGTGACGCTTCTGAAAAGCCCCCGTTCGTCACCCCACAGCTCTGGGGGGCTCTGCTGAAGCACAAATAGGTGCGTGGGAGCATCTCCCTGTTACCCATTGGCCCCGTAGCACTGGGATGTGCATGGCCCTCTGCAGGGAGCAGGGCCAGAGGGCAGGGGACAGAGGGAGGGCAGGCTTTGACTAGAGAGAAGGTGACACGGCAGGAAGCAGGGCAAGCGCTGGGGGGAGGTGGGCGGGATAGAGTAGGGTCTTGCAGGGGGTGGGGGTGTGGGGCTTGTAGTCTGAGTGACAGAAGTCCCTGGAGGATTCCGAGCGAGCAGGGACATGGTTGACTTAGACTCTCACAGGATCCCTCTGTCTGCAGTAGGGGGTTGAGGCTGGGAGCGGGAGACCACTGAGGAGTAGACTGGAATATTCTGGCAAAAGATGGTCTGGAACAGGGTGGCAGCAGTAGACGTGGAGAGGAAGTACCCAAGCGTCCAACATCCAGAGCAGGAAGGAAAGAGGCCCAGGGAGAAAAGAAGTGTTCCTCAGGGGCCATCTCTTTTCAGGGAGAAAGGATTTTCCCAGAATCCCCTAGTGCACAACGCTTGCACCTCATTGGCCAGAAATGGGTCAACATCCACCAATCACAGGAAAGGGGCGGGATCCCGTGATTGGCTTACATCCTCACGCAAGACCACCTTCATAATTTGCCGGGCCCAGTGCAAAACCAAAACGTAGAGGCCCTTCTTCAAAAATTATTAAGAATGTCAAGACTGTTAAGGCAGGCTTGTTCCCATGATTCACCCCCTGGGCTGAGCATGGGGCCACCCAGACGGACCGCAGGAAGGAGGGCATGGGCAGCAGGGACGTGACCCCAGTGGGGGCAGCAGCCTCAGTACACCAGTCACTGTG